GTTTGGAGTAAAAATATGTTATTAAATGTGGTATTTTCACATGCTTTCAGATGGAGCAGCATTTACTTCACAGAGCCGTAGTTCACTGAGAAGCTATGCAAACAGCTGTCATTATCGCAAACGATTTCTTCGATTTCAGAATCGCGTGGAAACAAAGAGGCCATGGCGCCAAACCCCCTCACGAAAGAAGAAAGCCGTCGTGTTTACAACTGTGACGACGAGCGCTTATCAGGATCAACTAAACGCTGGATTCTCAAAAGTGTGTGAAATATTTAAAGTTCGCGGCATAGAATATTTAAAATATGTCTGAGAGTTTTACACACCGGTCTGTTATTGTGGCGACATTTCCACACTCCGAAACGTGATGCTGAAACGAAGCGAACTGTGATTGGTTGTTTGACATGTCGGTCAAACGGCCTCATGGACGGGCCTTGGCCAATGAAATCTGCCATGGATTCCAGACCTTCAGCCGTCAGCTACTCTAGCGATTTTATCAGTAACAGTTTAACAACTTAAAAACTTCATGACTTCTCACAAGCGAGGTAACAACGGCACTGTTCGTGAAAAATAAAATGAACTTAAAGTTTCACTATTAGTAGAGATATTGCTGCCGAACACTTTTGAGAGACGCACGGACTCACAGGGGTAGGTCACATGTTTAATCGCTCTCTAATAAGTAAGTTATTAACTGCATAACAGTCTGCATTAACTTAGTCTGCAATCAACGGCTCAAGCCTCCGTTACTAGGTTTAAAATGACGTTTTGGAATTAGCAACAGAGGCGTTGGATGAGATCCTACTCACAATAGCGTTTTAAGTAGAAAAAACGGACAAATGCCTTGAAATATATCATCTGATCGATGTCTTGAGGTGTGGTAACTGTAGTATAAGCGGAATAATTGACTCCGGGCCGTTGAATTCTTAGAAAGTAATGCACAACCGAGGTGTAACGGTGTAACTCCGCTTCGTGTCGTGGCCGCATCATAACCTCGGGTGTGCATTATTTTCTAAGAATTCATTGGCCCGCAGTCAATTATTCCTTTTATATATATGTGTATATATATTTTTTAAATGACGTCGATCCAATATCGATTCTCAAAAGCCGCGAATCGATCTTTTCCGGTATTTATTTCAGCAAACATTTAAAACAAGATCTGATTAATGTGAATCTTATCATTAGTCTTCTCCACTAGATGTCTCCTTCTTATTTACCTTGCGCAAACGGAAAGCCTGTCATTCATTCGGTGCTTATCATGGCGGAGATACTGTTGACACGTTTGATGCCCTTATAGTGTTTTTGTTCCAGAAACACTTTCTCAATAAATATAAAATAAAAAAGATATTTATATTCGAATATGACTAAAATATGAGAAATGTAATTCTAAATTTTAAATAAAATCACATGATTTAAAAAAATATTAGTAATTTAAAGTAAAGTAATTTTATTAGGATATTTTCCTGATGATATTAAAACAGCATCATCACAAAATTATTTTATGTAAAATATAAAACCTATATTCTTACAATTTCTGAATAAAACTTGAGAAATTTAATGAAAAGTCATAAATCCAATCACATATGGGCAAAAGAAATAGTGATTCCTGACTTAAAAACGTAAGTAGTATTATATACAGTTAAACCAAACATTATTCAGAGACCAGATATAATTGTTGATATTTTTTTACTAGTGCGTGCAGGACACTATAGTTCATTTATGTAAGTGAGGTCCTTCTTATTTACCTTGCGCAAACGGAAAGCCTGTCATTCATTCGGTGCTTATCATGGCGGAGATACTGTTGACAAGAACCAAGAACAAAGCAACATGTGTGATTTGCAATGCTCAGGTAAAATTCTATAGTATTACTACAAATCTGTGGAAGCATTTGACATCACACGTAGAGGCGCCATGATTTCCGCAATGAATGAATGAATGAATGGCGGATGGTGCGACGCACTGTTTTGTTTACTACACACATACTAAAGCGCGGACGGCGCTCGCGGTGTTTTCAGCCTCTATCGTCTCACTATGATGATATGAATACACAAATATCATCTCCAGCTGCTATGAGAGTCACTTCAGTAGCATTTTACCATTTAATTTGACAAAACTACCGTCATATCACATACACAGCAGCAGCAAGATCCTCACGGCAACCCATCAAAATAAAAGTTTAGTTTAACGTGAAGAAACTGTGTCAGAAATATATTACTTAATATCTTAAGACTCAATGCAACAGCAATGTTACTACTACTACTAATAAATATTAATAAATCTTTTTTTTAAAGGAATAATCACATTTGTTTTCTTTTTAATTTTAACAGTAAACCTCTGTTGTGCAACACTTTGTTTGCCAAAAAATAAAAGGGTTTAATTTTCATTTGATTAGGATAAATGTAATTAATATTTTATGCCTTCATCTGATTACCAGAAAAATTAAGAAGAACATTTTATAGGGCCCTATTATTGTTTAAAAAAGGACCCTATACAAAAAAAAGAATAGGTTTAAAATACAGGCATGTGGTTCTTAATTTCTTTTTATTAATTCACCATTTGTAAACTGATGTTTACTGTTAATTTTTTTAGAAATACCAATAGCATTTGCATTAAAACTATATTCACTGAATGTAATAAAAAAATCGAGAATTGAACCAAGAATCGAATCGGGACATCTGAATCAATACCCAGCCCTAATATATATATTATAATATATATATACACGTTCATATTCGCGTGATTTTTTGCGCAGCTCGTCAGTGAACAATGACTCTGTGTAGTTAATGCTGCTCAATGTGAAAGCACGCAGGTGATGGAGATTTACCGCTGATTACAGAACCGGCTTTAATTTATGTAAGTGAGGACAGCAAAATAAAGTAAACTGTGGCATATTATACCCAAATATTCTTCATACAGTGGACTACTAGTAAAAATTGGGACCAAAATTTTTTAAGACACTTTGAGCTGAGCATGTTTTGCTGAAGTGTTTTTCTTTAATTGCTAATGTGATCTTTTTACACCACAGACTGAACAGAATGAAGCACTGCTTGGTAATTAGTTGAGCTAAATTGGTTTTATCTAATTGTGTTCTTAAATTTAACAGCTGACAGCTATTCAACCGAATTCATTACATACCTTTCTATCAAAGTTATCTGACATTATCAAGATGAGTTTGTTCTGACACAGTTTAACTCTGAGCTCTTCTCATATTTTAGTACCGTTTTCTAAACTATAGCCAATAAACTGTGATATGATGTGAGAAATGTTAAAGGTGTCTGAATAAATTTTGGTTTGACTGCATGTCAAAATTTATACAAAATTGTGCAGATTTAAATATATAATAAACAAAATGCATTGAAACCAAGCAAATATTCAGAGTGTGTGGTTGTACCTTTCTCTCGGCACTATCCGGCTCTTTCCTCTGGACCGGCACCTGTAGGAGACGCTGCAGCTTCTCCTGGTTCTGTTCTCCGATGGCGGTGATGATGCCGTAGCTCAGTTTGTCCTCCGGTATCCCATGTCTCCGGAGCCACCCGCCGCAAGCGAAGCTGTAGAAGTCGTGACAGGGCTGGACGCTCGGGTCGACGTTCCCCTGGATGAAGCGCGCGGCCCGGAGCAGCGAGCGCCGCTTTACGCAATCCTGACGACACTGGGAATCCTGCGCTTCCAGCGCCAGAAACTTCAGTGCCAGCATGCATCCGAGAATCACGCACATCCCCGCCGCGAACACTAAAGCAGAGAGCAG